TATCATAATCAAGATCTCCCAACTCTACAGTAGACGTGGCATTCAATTCACGAAGAAGATTTGCCTGTATGAAATTAAGAAGTGTTACACGTCAACAAACACCTAAAGCAACAAGTTCAAAAGAAAACTAGATGGTCTAGTAATACCGTAGGATGTACAGAAGAATCATTCCCTGCGACAGCATCAAGAACATCACAAATAGAAGTACGGACATCCAAGCCAGCAGAAATTACGAGTGGAGAAACAGATTTGACGGTCTTTTTACTGCTTTCACTACCCAATGGTTCTACAATATCCTTAATAATCTGTAAAGTGCCTACACAAATCTCTGCAACCAGAAAGAAAGGTAATCTTAGAAAAAGAGCAAGGACATGAGACCAAACAGGTCCACCAAAACTGTAAGACAAAACTCAGAGACTCTGACCAGGGTCTTTGGATCTCTTTGACAGAAGCGGAAGCAAGATGTCAAGAAACTTCCTTGCAGCCAATGGTCCCTTTATGTGCTTCGATAAAAGCTTGAAGACATTGAGCTCTTTTTCCCCAGGATATTTGACAATCTTCCTGGAAAAGTGAATACATCAGTTAAGAGGAGAACTGATGCTAGTGCATCTCATATAACACTTAATTACATAAAGAGCATGCTAAGTCCACTTAGCCATATAGGGTGGATGACACATACACAAGAAAATAAGTAAGAAACCTACTTATTCTCCGGAGAAGCATTTTCCAAAAAGACATTTTAGAGGCATTGTTATCATTTGGTAGATCCAGGTCCATGACCTATTTCGATGGAACACATTTTCCATGGTACATAACACATTCTCAGAATTTCGCTCATTGATATCCATTGATACGGACCTCACTTGTGGGATTTCACGGGATGTGTTGTTGCTTGAGTTGATATGCCCTGCTGAAAGTCTTTGTGGGTAGGAGGGAGTATAAGAATGATCCACAACTCCCGGCAAAGTTGTAACATTACCATGTTGATCTAAATGTAATAGATGTACTCCTATCTTCTTTACTATGGCTCCGCCACTGCTATCCTCTACTCTTATCTGTTCCCCGCCTTTGATGTTCAGGCCTTTAAAAGGTCTATCATTTGCGTAAGGTAAGTAATATACACATGATACTTCTCCGTGACCATCAGGTATATCAAAAGGCAAAATCCATGAAAAACTCTTTTTATGGGAAACAGTAACAACAAGGTGTTCAAGCTCATGTACATCGCAAAGGCGGCAAACAAACCAGAGAACCATTCCTAAGAACTTGTTATTATGTACTGTGGGCATAGTCAAACAGATAGATGGAGCTGTTACTTTATTGCTGCACCAATCTGGAATCTCATTGCTTTCGAGATTAATTTGTAACAACGACTTCATCAGACAAATTAAGACACAATTAGATCATTAATTATTAATGTGATACGAGAGAGAGATCAGAGAGGGAGAAGGACTAACCTCATACCATTGATATTTTCTACACGAAATTGATAGAGCAGGGGCACTAAAGAAGCCTTCACTGAATGGATTCTGCAGACAAGTACAATTATTCATGTCCATCTTCTTTATTGAAGGGAGGTTGTCCAACCCTGTAATCTTGACCAGTTTTTGGCAATTCCTAAGTTCAACAACTCTAAGGTACTCTAAATTTGATATTGATGGGAGTGTTTGAAGGTTCTCACAATCATTCAAATACAAGGACTTCAACCATGGTAACTTGGAAAAATCAAAGGGTAGATAGAGGAAACTGTTGCCGCTCAAATCTAAATGATATAAGTTGGATAAACTCCCAATATCCCTAGGAACATCAGCCTCCGAGAAACCACAATATGGAAGGCATAGAATCGAAATAAATTTTGACAAGGATACTATGGGGCGTACTCTTGTTTGAGAAAACCTCCTTTTGGTCTCTAAGTATTGACCTCCCATTTCCAATTCTATAAGATTTCCTAGCATTTCAACAGATCCAGGCAATTCTTTTATACCTGTTTCACCTGCATTAAGAAATCTTAGGCTTTGCATATCTCCAATGTCAACTGGCAGTGTTTGTAAAGATGAGCAGTCATTAATGCTCAAGTATTCAAGGGATTTTAGCTGGCATATGCTGCTCGGAAGATCCGTAATCTTTTCGCAACCATTCAATTGAAGATCAGTTAGTCTGTCCAAATTTCCTATTGATGGATGGATCTCCTTAAGACTTGAGCAATTGTCAAGCCACAAAGTCTCGAGACTTCTTGAACCACAGAAGTTTGGAGTTCTTCTGAGGTGCTTGCAATCAGAGAGATCCAGCATTTTCAAATTTCTACAATACTAAAAGTAAACAAAATATTGTTTTAATTAAGATTTTCTTTATCTTAAACATAACACATAAAATTGCAGAATTGAGTAACGAACCTGCAAATTCAAACCAAATTCTTGGATATTGCTCCCTTTCATATTCAGAACTACAAGCTTCTCAGATGGAAAATTTGACGGTATACATTTTAAAGGACATTCTTTCCAAGACAACCATCTGAGCTCCTTGGACAATAGCTCAAAATCTCCACTAATATGTAAGTCGTCGATTTTAAGCACCCTAAGATTTATCATTTTCTGAAATGCTTTGGTGTTCAGCTTCACACCCTTTAATGCCTGTCGTTCTACCACCAATATTTCTACATTTTCAGAACCCTACAGTTTGGTAAAAAGAAAAGTACTATAAGACCATGTTATGTATGATAAATTAAGAAAGAGAAATGCTTTATACAAATTGAAGGTCAAACAAAGAAAATAAATTATGTACCAATAAAAATAAACTTACACATTATATCCAACTAAAGGATATTTATTTGATAATTTTGTCTTTGATAGCTTGTTTAGACTTCAGTAAATGTTCATTTCAAGTACAGAATGGTTCAAACATCTAAAGATACTTACTAACCGGAGAAGATTTAAGCACAAATGCATAAATTATAAGCAAGTGTATATCAATATGAAAAAAGAAGAAGAAGAAGTATAACCGAGATAAAGATAATGAAATTTACTGACTTTATTTCCTTGTAGGACATCAAGGACTTCTTGAGGGTTGACCAATCTACTCCGTTTTCCAAAGTCTCGAGGTGATTCCATGCGAACGATTTCTCTTCCCATATCCCGCACTAGATCATGCATCACCAAACGACGCCGATCCCTTTGGAGCAGGTGTCTTTTGACTAGAGTTGCAATTGCAGTTTCACAATAAAAACCACAGGGGTTTAATGTTTTGGTAACTTCATCCTCATCACATCCATGGAAAGCGCACGCAATATCAAGGAAAACACTCTGAGTATTGTCATCAAGTCCATCAAAGCTTATTTGGAGAATCTTTTGAATATCAAAATGAGGAATTGTTCTTAGTTTTTTGAACTCGTATCTCCATTCTTCAACGGATCTCCCTTGCAGATGTGACCCCAATGTCACAAGAGCTAATGGTAGCCCACCTGAATATTTTATTATGTCTTGTGCCAGCTCAACATATTCTTGTGGTGGAGAAAAACAGTTAAAAGCATGACAAGAAAAGAGTTGCGGGGCTTCATTGTCATTTAAAAGTTTGGCCCGGTATATCTCACTTGTTGTAAGCCCATATAGCAAATGTTCATCTCGAGTTGTAATAATTATTACACTACCAGAGCCAAACCAACTTCTTTCTCTTGTTAAGGATTCTAATTGGCTTCTATGATCCACGTCATCAAGAATAATTAGAACCTTCTTTGACCCAAGTCTTGCTTTGATTAGACTAACACCTTCAGCAACACTATCAACTTCAAATTCCTTAGTTTTGAGGATTTGATGAAGTAGTTTCTCTTGTAGCTTGACTAGAACATATTCTTCAACTTTTGATCTTATGTCTGAAAGGAAGCAACTACCGTCAAACTGTTGAAATATTCGATTGTAGATAGCTTTTGCCAAAGTTGTTTTCCCAATTCCACCAACGCCACATATACCAACCATGCGAACTTCATGCTCACATCCACTTTGCAGTAACACCTCTATATGTTTGATAGGAGAATCTAATCCAATTGGGTAATGAGCAACATCTAGAGGTGTTGGGTTAACCTCTTGCAGAACTTGTTTTATAATACTTTCAATAAACTTTGATTCATGCCTACAGTTTTTGCAACAATAAATACTCAAGTATTTTAAATTATTTGATGAACAAAATGAAAATCAATAGCCAAAAGATAACAGAGTTTATAGAATGGAGATTATCCCTTGTCCCAATCTACGGTTTGATTTGACACGAAATTTAAGAAATATAAAAAGACTTTACAATGTTCCAAAATTAACCAAGTTTTAAGCTTAGGCAAATGCTTAAATTCAAAATTTAATAGTTGAATTAAGAAGTCTTACCCATCAGCAACATTTCTTAAATCCCATCCAGATAAATTTGCTGCTTCAGTAAGTGCAGCTTTCCACTTTTCCATTCTTTCAGCTCCAACCAATCGTTCCTTGTGTTTTGCCAAAGCTTCGTCAAAGGACGAAGTTTGCCTTCGCACTTGAGAAGGATCAACATCATAGAAAATAGGCAAAACTACCTGCTTTAACCTCTGTTTGCAATCGAGAATTTTGACAAGTTCATCAAGACACCAACTAGACGAAGCATAATTTTTGGAGAAAACAACAATGGCAACCCTAGATTGTTCAATTGCTTTCTTAAGTTCAATTGAAATTTCGTCTCCTTTTCTCAATTCCTCATCATCTATGAAAGTATTAACTCCGACTTGATACAATCTGAAATAAAGATGACCTGTGAAGTTTTTGCGAGTATCTTCACCTCTGAAACTGAGAAACACATCATAACATAAGTTGGAAGAAGAAGATGATTCTCCTTGAGTATTCATATTTGATGACAATAAATTAAAGAGATTTTTAGTCAATTTTTTTGTTTAATTAATTAAATAGAGATGTGAAGCAGCTCTTTATATGCCCACAAGTAATTGTTTGTTCCTGGAAATTTAATTTTGGGTCAACTCATTTACAGGCCCCAAAGAAGGTTAACAGAAATGTAAGGGAAGTTTCCAAGATATTTCATAGACATGTTGCGTTCAATTTTATATGTTATAATATTAAAAATAGATATACAATTTACTTCCACTTCTTCCGTAGATTTTTACTTGTTCACATTATAAACTATAGTGATCATTTTTATTTGTACAATTTAAAAATAATCAAAAATAAGAACTTTTAATTTATTTATTTTAAAATGTGTCATACTTCCAATAATTCACTTATGAACCAGTGAGAGTAGATAATGAGTGACTTGCTTTCACATTTATTGTCAGCACAACTCTATCAGTCTTCTTTTTTTTTCATCACTTTCACACTATCGACAAGTGGATTGACATTACCATGTTGGTCTAAATATAGCAGATGGATCCCTATCTTTTTTATTGCATCTTTGCGAAAGAACAAATAGTCAGACTCGTGAACTGTTACCTTTGATCATCTGGTCAACAAAAGGACTAGTTAAGCAAGATATGTAATATACACATGATACTTCTCTGTATTGTCCGATCGAGTATATCAATATCACAAATTCTTGACATAGATACTCTCTCTCTATCGGATACAGCAATACTGAAGCGTCCAAAAGTGGATGAAAGTCTCTTAAAGTCGCAAAAAAAAACAGAGAATCATTCCTAAGAACTTGTACCCCTTATCATGTACTGTGGGCATAGTGAAACAGATAGATGGAGATGTTACTTTATTGCTGCACCAATCTGGAATATCATTGCATTCGACACAAATTCGTAAAACTTGCTTCTTCAGAGTGTGAAATGACAGAGCCTGGGCACCTTGATTGAACGATCTCCTTCATCCTTGAGCAACCTTGAAGCTTCAAAGTCTCGAGACTTGTTGCACCGTTGAAGTTTGGAGTTTTTTTGAGGGCCGAGCACCAAGAGATATTCAGCTCCTTCAACCTTGGGCAACACTAAATGTCAACCAAGTACATTAATATTCAAGTTATACAAGACTATTTTGTATAATTTCACTAGTCAATGAAAAATGTAGAATTGGGCAACAAATTAAACCTGCAAATTCAAGCCAAATTTTTCGATAGCACTCCCTTCCATATTAAGAACTACAAGATTCGCAGCTGGAAAATTTGGTGGAATATATTTTAAATGACATCTTTGCCAAGATAACCATTTGAGCTCCTTGGGAAAATGCCACAAATCTCCATGAATACGTAATCCATTGATTATAAGCACCCTGAGTTTCTTCATTTTCTTAAATGCATCGGTGCTAAACTCCACTCCCTCTAATTCCCCTGGTTCATCTAACCTCATTACTTGTACATTTCCGAAACTCTGTAGTTCAGAGAAAATGTTTTAATTAGGACTAAGAATTGTAACACGACATACAATTAAATTAAAAAGGAACAAGGATTTACTCACGTTTTTTCCTCGTAAAACAGCACAGACTTGTTGAGGTATGAATAATCTACTCCGTTCTACAAGGCATTGAGATTCTGAGCGAACAATTTCTCTTCCCATATCTCGCACTAGATCATGCATACTTACACAACCCCCAAGTACCCCTTGGAGCAACTGTTTTTGGACTAAAGTTGCAATTTCACATTTAGTGTGAAAACCACATGCATTTAGTATTTCAGTTTTCTTGAGAGTCTTTTGGATATCATCATGAGGAATTTCTTTTAGTCTCTTGAATTTGCGTCTCCAGTTTTCTATGGATTCCCCTCGAAAATGTGAACCCAATGTCACAAGTGCTAATGGTAGCCCACCTGAATATTTGATTATGTCTTTCGTCACCCCAACATAGTCTTTAGGTGGAGAAAGACTGTCAAAAGCATGACGATAAAAAAGTTGCTGAGATTCATTGTCATTTAATTGGTTGATCATACATCTTTTTGCATTAAGCCAACTTAGCTAAAGCTCGTCTCGGATTGTAATAACTATTATACTACCCAAACCAAACCATTTCTTTTCTTTTGTTAACGATTCTAATTGTTTTTTTGTGTCCACTTCATCAAGAACAATTAGAACCTTCTTTGACCCCAGTTTTCTTTTGATTAGATTGATTCCTTCAGCAACACTGCGAACTTTGTACTCGTTGGTTTTGAACAGTATATTGAGAAGTTTCTCTTGTACACTTTCTAGACCAATCTTTTTTTCTAGCAATCTAACATCAGAAAGGAAGCAACTACCATCGAAGATAAATAATCGATTGTAGATATTTTTGGCCAGAGTTGTTTTCCCGATTCCACCAACTCCATATATACCAACCAAGTGAACTTCATCTACGTGTCCATTTTGCAATAACGACTTTATAGGTTTAGTACGAGAATCAACTCCAATTGGGTAAGAAGCAACATGTAGAGGTGTATGGTTGACCTCTTTCTTCATATCTTGTATAATCATTTCAATAAATTCAGCTTCATGCCTACCAATATTTTTACCAAAAAACACTCACATGATGGGAGGTGTTACGCTTTAAAATAGTTGCCTATCTATGGATGGCAATGGGGCGGTGCGGGACGGGGCGCGTTGAGCTTAATCTATAAAAAATTTAATTCGCTCTGCATAACAATTTTTTTCATTTTCAACCTGCCCCGCATGAAACTCCCCACATAGTTTTTTTAATATTTTTCTTTTCTAGTTAAGTTTGACACTAAAAATAAAATTCATAAAAATAAATTCATTTTTTCATTAAGTTGTATTAATTTAATAGAAAATGACCTAAATTTTATTTTTTAGAAGTCAATTGGTAAACATGTAAGAAATTGTATTAATTTTTATTGAATCATTTTCATTTACCATCTTGAATATTTTAGTAGCTTTAGAGAAATTATCTTAATAAATAATGTTCTATCACTCTTATAGCATGTAAAAAGTTAAAATTAAATTGAATCCACATAATGCCACATATTCCGGCAACCCCGTCCCACATAGCCTTAAATCCACTCCATCCCGCATCCGCCCCGTTTCATTGTTATCTATGGCTATCAAACGACCCAAAATTGTTAACAGAAATAAAAAGGAAGTTTCCTAAGAGGTACTTTCTCTTTTGGGTAATAACCATAGTTAATAGTATAATTAAAAACATTACATTTCATCCTTGTAGGAAATTACTTATGGGGTTCTTGATAGGCAATCTTACTGTGGAGGAAAGTTGATAGAAATTGAATGGAAACATTCAAATTCTTTTTCTTTTTAATTGAATGGTTTTCACATTCTAAATTTTCTCTACCCACCAAAGGTCAATTCTAATAGTGGTTGCATCTTGAATTGGACCCTTTTTATTTTTAAACAAATTTCTTAGTACACAAAACAAATATATTGCTTACTTTAAAAGCAAGGTATCATAAATTCACGTCGAAACATTGTACTTGCCCTTTAAAATTTTACAACTTATGATTTTCATCTTTTTTTAAAAAAAATAATGCAAGAAATATGTCATGATGTTCCACTATGCCTTTATAAATCTCCATTTATCTTTGTTTTGTTTGTTTAATCGAAATTTAATCTTCTTACTGTTACGATTACCAGATTTTACACACTACTTGCCTATTCTTTCTTCTTCTAACCTTTTCTTTTCCTTTTTGAATATTTTCTTTTAATATTAGTATTTCTTTTGAATGGTCTAACCAGTAGTTGAACTTAGAAGCTTTCTTTGGTTATGAAACCAAATTAATATTATTTACCTTATTTAGAGGTATTGCCACTATAAGTAATACAACGATTAACTATTTTATGCAAAACTTTCGTAAATGTGCTTTTACATAAATTTCCATTCAGTGTGACACACACGAAGTAAAACCACATGTTTCTTCTTTTTGCATTCCAAAAAAAAGGAAGAATATTCTTCTCCATTACTAAAAATCAATAAATTACACAGTTCAATCACTTACAATGTTCCCTGGCATTGCATGTTAATCAAAGAGACACTATATTCACTATACAATGAAAAAGTTGATTCAATTTTTTAAACTAAGCTTAGTGCAACTCAACATACTACCACTATACAATGGAAAATTTGGTTACATAAATTAAACAAAATTTTCTATAGAAGCTACTGCCTATATCGAACAACAAAATTTTCTATAGAAGCTACTGCCATCGAAGATCGATGCTCAATTGTTCATACCTAATAATGGCTTTGTAGCCCTATAATAGTACACATTCTACTACATCCATCTTCCCATCTTCATTGACATCATTTTCCTCTTCTTGTGTGCTTTATGCTTTTCTGCAATCCTCAGCTTCCTCTTGGCATTTCTCATTGGATTAACCACAGCAATGACCTTCTCTTCTTGTTTCCTCTTATCCCTCTTCGATTTGATATTCTTCCTTATATGACTGTAAATTTGGACAAAAATATGTGTTCCTATAACATTGCTTATGCTCCCTCGCACTCCTTCAGCCAGTTGTTTCACGTCGTCTGTGGAGATGATGCAAACGTAATCATCAAATATATTAAGGACTACAAAGTTTAATCACTCGGAAGCCAAAGAGGAAGTGAAGAACATTTGTAAATGCAGCTAGCACTTTGCATATATGATAGTATGGACAGACACTTGAAACAATAAGTTTGCAAGAGATTGAATGAGAGACCATACCTGATATAACTTTTCCGGCAAATCCTTCACAAACTTTGTACAGGGGCAACAGCATATGATATGCAAAGCTTTGGCAATCAACCTCACCTTCAGGGGACAACAATCTACTCTGATCTATAAGCTTTGGTGAAACTGATTTGAAACAATTGAAGATAATTCTCATCTGCAAAAAATTGTGCACATTCCACAGCATGAGAACAGGCACTCCTAGCACTATATATGGGAGACTAAGGCCCAAAATATTTTTTTTGGAAAAACAACGAGAAGGTAAATTACATAGCAATGACTAGGCTAAGAAATTTTTTGCGAGTCGAGCAAACAGAGATATCCTTAATTAATCACCCACCTGCATATCCTCCACATGAAGGGAAATCTTTCCCATTGTCTTAAGCAAATAAGAAATGACCAAGTAGCGCTGGCCTTCATCTTCTTGATCGCTAAGGTCAGACACAAGAGACAGATAGATGTTTTTCCCTTTCCTTGAATCAAGCTGTTGAAAAGCCTTAAGCAGAAGACCCTGCTCGTCATGTTCAATGGTGGACCAGAACTCATCTTTACATTCATTTTTTCCTAAGAATGAATGCAGAGAGCAAATTGAAAAGACAAGATTTTGAGTAATGAGATCACTGGCAGCATCATCAGTCTGCAGCACCTTCAGCTGACAACAAAGAGAAGTAGCTACGAAGAAAAGTCTACTTGGCCTCATCAAAAAGTAAGTTTCTTGTGGCAGTTCAAGGTTTTCTTTCCAAGCCTCAGTCACAGTGGCAAAGTAGCAAGCCACAAGACGGTTTGATATGTTGCGCAACCACAGATGCGGATGCAAAAGCAACTCACAGATTGCTTCCCACAGATCCTATGAGATGTCAATAAAAATAATAGTCAGAAAACAAATATGAATTTATCCAAAGAACAGGACAAGTTATTGGCAATCTGGAAATGGGAGTGTGGTAGCTGTGGAGCGTACTTTCCCCAGTACAACAATAACATACCTAGTGAAATCCCACTAAGTGGGGTCAGGGAAGGGTAGAGTGTACGCAATCCTTACCACTACCTCGTGGAGGTAGAGAGGTTGTTTCCCTAGTCTCAAGTGCATCAAACCAAAGTAAAAGTATCCTCTTCAAACTTTAAGCCCAGTATACTATTCAAACTCTAAGCACTTGAATTTCAAATACTTCTTAACTTTACACCTAGTCTGTAGTTGCAAACTATCTTTTGGCATGCTGCCTAAGTTTGAGGACCAAAGCAATTTCACCGAAGTGGTTTTAGCCACACCAAAAAGTAATTCATTTCATAAATCTATCACAAAGCAAAATGAGGTCCAGTGGTTTTCACACAAGTCCCCTCGTACATATGCTAAGTTGGACATATTATGGATGACTTGGTTTTAGCTCTCCTATATTTTAAGACCATAGCTAAAACAATGAAATACAGCAGCACTAGCACTAATGAAATAAAGGATAGAGAGAGAAAATATAGTAATTTTTTTCTTTCTACAGAGACTAATATCCATTCTATAGAGGATAGATATAGAAGATATTTTATCTTTTTAAATTCTACAAAAACAAACATCCAATATGTGCTATAGAGTATCAAAACAATGTCTCAAAGGCAATTCAACCAGTTATGAATATCCATTAGCTCCATTTTATCCCAATAGAATAAGTCTGGATGGCAGGCAAATCTTATAAATGTTCATATGTTGTTGTTGTTGTCTTATTTACAGAAGTAATCAGTTAGTACCTAGTAGTAGTCACTTTAATTTCTAACATAGGATTAAAAGAAAGGAATAAATACCTCAAGATCCTTTCTGAAGCACAACTTAGGAAATTGATTTAATATCTTCTCAAACAGAACCAGTGAATAATATGCTTCTTTCCAAGATGAAATCGTTGCATCATTCGGTAGATCCACTTGCTTATTTGTAAGAACATTAACAGCAGATTGCAAGATGTTTCTCATAACAGGTAGGAGGCTATCAATATACTTTTGGAAACCATCTTTAAGTCCTTCAATGAGTAACCCCAAAACCTGTAAAAGAAATAATGAAGTCTTGAAACATGTTTTTCTATTTTTTGATGAGGAAGGAGTTATATCTCAGATTCATGACAAAATAATGACGTCAGTTTTTGTCCATTCTTCCGGCTATTTAATTCATAGTTCATATACATAAACGAATATGAAAAAAGTGAATGACATATGGAACTTGTAATCCTTCTTCGGTATTTCCAAACTTGCTCCACGATGGCATAATGTAGTTGAATAAAAGAACAGTTTGGGGTTTTCACTCGTTTACCTGTGCTGCAGCACTCCATAAATGTGGTTTATCTCCCAGATACCAGGACCGACTAAACTCAAGAATTGACTGGAGTGAACGGGGGCTGACTCGTCCAACAAGTAACTTTATGACTGTACCAGTCATTGAACGGACTCTGTTGTCACGATCATTCGCCAGACAAACCACCAAATGCAGAAAAAACGTCTGAGATTGTTCATCTATGATGCTAACTGGGAATTTCATTATAACAGCATGAAGCATTTCAAGGATAGCTTCTCTTCCAGTTGAATGCTCATATCTGAAAAATTCAAAAACATCATTACAGAGATGTCACCATCTATAAATTTTACCAAATGAAATTATTGATTGTGCCCTTATGTCCTTGCCTTAAGTTTGAAAGTAAGAAATCAAGATGTTGTTGAAGACGTTTCTCAGATATATGGTAGTCCAGTAAAAACTGCAGCAAAATTTGGCTGCTTTTCTTACGAATTGATTCAACTTGACTAGTCACCATCAACACTGCAAGATTTCTGCAACTACCAACTTCCTACTCACTATTGCTTTCAACAGTGAGAGAGCCACAAAAGAGGGATTTCTTTCAAGATCAACAAAAAGAGGAAACTGGATTAGCATATGCAGTTGATCAGTAGAAAGTGTGATCTTAGTGCTACGCAAAAGCACAGTTAGCAACTTAACGCAAGACTCCAATAATGGATTACTGGAAGTTACTGAACCTTGAGCAATATTCAGTAATGAATTCTTTATCTTCTCTGCCTGAGATTCAAGAGATGGCAAAGGGAGCCTCACCAGAGGAGATAAGCACCTAAGTGAGGCAGACATGACATTCTCATATTTTGAGTTTAAGCATTCACCCAATAATCTTACAAATGGATCTAGCATTGACAACAACTGCTCATCTTTCTTGTCAAATTTCATGTTCTTCATGTAATTCTGAAGCACTCCAAGAGCAAATTCAGTAATAAGATGGGAATATCGTGGATCAACGCTGACCAACTTATCTGATTTAGCAATCTGGCTGCTTACTCCATCTTTCTTTTGCTTACCTTCCATTAAAGTCGATGTCTCTGCATGCCCTGGAGATTCATCTTTTATGCCATCTTTGATCAGACCATATTCATAGATAAAGAGTTCTGTCTGGTTAACGGAAGGATTACACTGTATTCCAGCAGCTATATGAGAGAACATATTCTCAAATTTTGATTTTACTTTTGGAGTCAGCTGCTTCTGTAGATGCTTAAGAATTGGCGCAAGCAGCTTCAGAGCATGTGTTTTGAATGTGATGCTTTGGGCAATCAATTTAAGGGTATCATATGACTTCTGCTTCCTAGTCTCTTCCATCTTTGAAGCAATCTTCTCAACCTCTTTCTCCTCTGAAATATCACTAAGTATATCATTTATTGCAATCGAGAGAAGATCCTCTAAACAAAAATCCAGCTTCCCACTACTGGGATTTAGAAGAAATTTTGATAGTAGAAAATTGAGAGTGAATCCCAAAACATGCAATTCAAATCCTCTCTTCAGAGTGCCTCTCAAGACTTTGACAACAAATTGCAAGTACTCCAGCCCTAGTTCTTTTAAACAAGCAGCCAAAGCAGCTCTGGCTTCATCACGAACACTTTCCAAACGATTCTTAAGGAAATTCGCTATGCGATGCATCATAGATGGAAGGTGCGATTCCATGATGTCTCCCGAAATTCCGCAATAACACCTTTTGTTTATCTGGTTTCAGTGTCATCTCCCGAAAGCATCTATTGAGTAATGCATAATACAATCTCCAGTCCATGAATTTAGAAATTGATCCAACAGCTTCCAAACATGCACTTCTAATATTTTCACCCTTTCCAACTTGTCCATCAACCAACATTTTAAAGAGAAGAGGGATAAACACTTTATTTATGAGAACCTGCACCAGAATTATTCCCAACTATTAGTACAGCTTAGCAACACAGAGCACAAATTGATGCTTAAAGAAAAAGGCAAGTAACCACCTTAGACAGATTCCCGGAATATGTAACTCATCGATTTTAAGCACCCTCAAATTTTTCATTTTCTTAAATGTCTTGGTGCTCAGGTTCGCGCCTTTTAATTCCCCTGGATCTACCACCAGTACTTCTACTTTTTCGGAACCCTGTAGTTTCAGCACATATTAATTGAACAAAAGCAATTATAAGCAAATATTTATCAAATTATTGAAAAAAATTAAAATCACGAAAGATAAAGAATCTACTGACTATATTTCCTTGTGGAACATCTCGGACTTCTTGAGGTTTGAACAATCTACTCTGTTTTCCAGAGTCTCAAGGTGATTCCATACGAACAATTTCTCTTCCCATATCTCGCACTAGATCATGCATCATCAAATAACGCCAATCCCTTTAGAGCAAGTTCCTTTGGACTAAGGTTGAAATTGCACTTTCAGAATAAAAACCACACGCATTTAATGTTTTGATAACTTCATCCTCAAAAAATCCATGGAAGGCACACACGATATCAAGGAAAACACTTTGAGTATCACAATCAAGTCCGTCAAAGTTTATCTTGAGGATCTTTTGAATATCACAATGAGGAATTGCGTATCTCCATTCTTCTACGGATCTCCCTTGTAAATGTGACCCCAATGTCACAAGAGCTAACGGTAGCCCACCTGAATATTTGATTATGCTTTGTGCAAGCTCAACATATTCTTGTGGCGGAGAAGGACTACTAAAAGCATGACAAGAAAAAAGTTGTTGAGCTTCATCTTGATTTAAAAGTTTTGCCTTGTATCTTTCATTTTCTCTAATCCGAGATAACAAATGCTTGTCTCGGGTTGTAACAATTATTAAACTACCAGAGCTAAACAAACTTCTGTCTCTTGTTAAGGATTCTAATTGGCTCATATGATCCACTCCATCAAGAATAATTAGAACCTTCTTTGACCCAGGTCTTGCTTTGATTAGATTGACGCCTTAGCAACACTACTAACTTTGACGTCCTTAGTTTTGAGAACTTGATTTAGTAGTTTTTCTTGTAACGTGACTTGACCAAATGCTTCAGCTTCTAATCTAACATCTGAAAGGAAGCAACTACTATCAAATTGTCGAAATATTTGATTGTAGATAGCTTTAGCCAGAGTTGTTTTCCCTATTCCACCTACGCCCATATATACCAACCATACGAACTTCATCTGCACTTCCTTTTGGAGTAACAACTCTATATCTTCGACACGAGAATCTACTCCAACAGGGTGCCAAGAAACATCTAGAGGTGTCTGGTTTACCTCTTGTAGAACTTGTTTTACAATACTTTCAATAAATTTTGATTCATGTCTGTATATTACCAAAAACAACAGTTAGAATTAAAAAAAAAAACAACTTTGATATGTGGAAAAAAAATAATTGATAACCAACTTATGACTTTTGACTGATAAGTCAGTGTGACCAGCTTATAAATATTACCCGTCAACAACATTTGCAAATCCCATCCAGATAAATTTGCAGTTTCAGTAAGTGAATCCGTCCATTTTTTCATTCTCTCAACCTCGAATGATCGTTCCTTAAGCATAGCCAAAGCTTCACCAAAGCATCCGGTTTGCTTGCGTACATGAAAAGGATGAACATCATAGAAAATAGTCAAAACTATTTGCTTTAACTTCTCTTTGCATTCAAGAATTTTAACAAGTTCATCAAGACACCAACTAAACGAAGCATAATTTTTCGAGAAAACAACAATGGAAACTCTAGATTCTTCAATTGCTTTCTCAAGTTCTGTTGAAATCACCTTACCTTTTCTTAATTCCTCGTCATCTATGAAGGTATTAATTCTGACTTGACATAATCTAGAATAAAGATGACCTGTGAAGGTTTTTCGAGTATCTTCACCTCTGAAACTCAGAAACACATCATAAGAGAAGTTGGAAGAAGTAGTTGATGATTCTCCTACAACAAATTGAGTATTCATATTTGATGTGAATAAATGGAAGAATGAGTAGCTATATATATAATATACCATGCACATTCTATGGTTTTTTCTTGGTAACTTAACTAATGCTATATATTCTTTAATTTATTTTGTACAATTATTCTTCATTAAATTTTGTTAATTGGGATTTTTTTTAAATTGATTCTTTACCTTTTGTCTCATCTTTAATTTGTTAAAGACTTGAATGATAAAAATTTAAAGTAAGATTCTTTCTTCCTTAACAACTCAAAAGTTCATCTCTCCACATAATTATGATGATGTTAAGCTTGATGTCATAATCTTTTAATAATGGAATTGAAAACATCGATTTGTTCTCAATTCACAAGTTGGATTAAACGTTTTTTTTCTTTCTTTTTACCTAAGTATCACATAAATTATAACGATAATTTTTTAAAAGAAAAACAATTTGTATTAATAGTAAAAACTAGGAAACTTTGTCGTAATAAAGCTAACTACTAGTCTATTGCAACTATTAAACAACTAGAGCTATCAATATGGGCTGACCCATCCCATCCGGGTTAATCTATACAGGTTTTGAAATATGACGGGTTAGGCCGGGCTAGCCCATTTTTGGTGTGGGCCAGAAAATGGTCGGTCCAACCCACAAGTACGTGGGCTAGGGGCTTGTCGGGCCAGCCCTCTTTTCGTAAAAGTATATTTTTTATAATTTTTTAAATTAAATTATAATTTAAAAATATTATCATAAATATCGACAAGATAGTATTACACGGTGTTAGTGTTGACACCTAATTTTGACCCTCCACAATAAGAATTAATTTGTGAGCTTTCTTAATTCCAAACGATTTGAAATAACTAATTTTATAAAAATTCAAAATATGTTTCAAAGATATTTTAGGAATTTTATTCACTTTTATAATATTTTAAATAATAAATATGTTTTATATTGTTACGTATGTAACTAATATATTTTATAAACACTTGAAAAATATCTTGAAAAAGATTTTTTTTTTTTTATTATTATTATCATTTATTTTTAACGTTAAACACTTTACTAATTTAATTTAGTTTGAATTATAGGTATGTTTTTGAATTAATTAGTTTGATTGAGTTAATTATTTTTTAGTTTGTTAAATTTAAGAAGCTTGTTAATTGATCTTGTTTAAATTCATCTCATTTAGCTTTTGCCGAATTTGCTAATTAAATCCGATTTAGCTAACTTCCTAATTCCCATTAGGTCATAATTGCTTCCATGTGGCTTAAGCCAATTTAAATCTCACTTGGACCAAATCTAAGATCAGACTTGGGCATGTCCTCAATTTCCAATTCCCAAGCTCATTTCCCCTTTGGTTTCCAATTAAGCCGAGCCCAACCCATCCTTCTCCAAATTTCCCGACCCAATCCAACACAACTGACCCGACCCGGCCCATTCCAACTCTAAAAGAAACTCAAATGTCCTTCTCTTTTCCAAGGTCCCAGAAGCAGTTCCAAACGTTCACAGACCGACAAAGCAACAGCAGTCCACGGCATCCTCACGATGAGAGACGATTCCAAAGGAATCAACACGGAATATTCGAATCACAATAACCAACGACGTCAATTCCGATACACGGCGTGAAAGCATGGAGATACACGCAAGCAGTGAGGAACGAGACGGACAGAGGGCAGTACTATTCCTTGTCTTCTTCCTCCAATGTCTCTCTCAACCAGTACTATGGCAGTAGCACGCGGTTTTCACCTTTCCTCTTTCGGAATGGGGCGAAAACCTCAGAAGAAGGGTGTGTGTCCGAATTTGTGAAAGGTTTTTGGAATTCAAATTTATGGGACTTGAATCCGAAATTGCATTTGTCCTTTCCCCCCACAATCTACCCTAATTTTCCCATATATAATCATCTCTTCTATTAAGTCTTAAGAAGTCATTAAGTCGGTTAGTTAGCTCATTAATTTAATAGTCAGTTAGTTAGTTATTAAAATCTGTTGTAACTAACTACACTGCTTGTAACTAACTACACTGCAGAAAGCCAGCTAAGGCATCGTGTATAAATAGACATTCAATTGTCATTGTTGACACAAGAAATAAAATTCCTTTCTATCCTTTGTTCAAAGTGCTCTCAATTCAATTGTTCATCATCTGTGATTGATGAAAGTTAACATGGTATCAGAGCAGTGATCATAAGGGATTGATCTGCGTAGAAGAGAAGAACCCAGAGGTGCTGAGAAGCTGTAGAAGAAGCTCCTGAAACAAGCATCAATGGGGACTAATGAAGTTACAGATCTAAGTACAACAATAGGAACAAATGAGATTACAACTCTAAATCACAATCACCCGCTTTATCTCCAAGCTTCAGATGCACCTGGAGTAGTTCTGGTTCCAATCAAATTAACAGGGCCAGAAAATTACGCTTTATGGAGCCGATCGATGAAATTGGCTCTTAGAGGAAAAGGGAAACTTGGATTCATTGATGGATCTTGTGCGAAGACAACTTATAAAGGAGGATTAGAGGAACAATGGGAGAAGTGCAATGCAATAGTACTGTCATGGATTGCGAGCACAGTTACGAGTGAATTACTGCCAGGGATTATATACGCTTCAAATGCTAAGAGAGTTTGGGAAGATTTTCAGGAGAGATTTGATAGATCAGATCTCACTAGAATTTACCATTTGTGGTCAGAAATTGCAGCTCTCAAACAAGGTACTGATTCTGTGACCTCTTACTACTCGAAATTGAGAGATTTATGGGCTGAATTAGAAGTAATGGTTCCATCACCTGGTTGTACATGTGCGGATTCAACTTCTTATATGGAGCATTTAAGATCTCAGAAACTGTTGCAATTCTTAATGGGATTGAATGAGAGTTTTGGACATATCCGGAGTAGCATTCTAGCTAGGAAGCCTGTAGTGACAGTAAATGAAGCATATGCAGTTGCAGCACAAGAAGAAAGTCAAAGAGTCCTAGGTGTTTTGGATAAAAGCAGGGATCCGTTAACACTTTTAGCAGGGAAAACTCAAGGATATAGATCAAAGCCAAAGAAGTTTGTGCCACCAGGAACAATTTGCGATCATTGTGGTTTCAAAGGCCATTTCAAGGGTGATTGTTATAGGTTGGTAGGGTATCCACCAGATTTTCAAAGCAAGAGAAGAGGACCTGATGGTTTTAAGCCAGATTTCAAGCCAAATGCACACTTAAGTAAGAATACTGATGATCTCACCAACAGAGGAAAGCTTACTGAAAATTAGGGGTCATCATCTCAATATGAGGATTTGGGAAACAAAGTGGGTCGAGCAGGAATATCAGGATGTGTTGCTAACTTGTCAGGTATGAATTCTTTAGATTTCAAAACAGACACAGTTTATGAGTGGATAATTGATAGTGGAGCTACACATCATATTACACCTAATGAGGAGTTATTAATTGCCAATAAAAGAACACATAATAGTGTTGGAGTTCAAGTTCCAACAGGGAAGAGGTGTGACATCAAGAGTATTGGAGTTGTGAAGATTTTAGAAGGGGAAGAACTTCAGAATGTGTTGTATGTGCCAGATTTCAAATTTAGCTTGTTATCAGTTGCAAAGCTAACCAGGGAACTTGCTTGTTCAGTTTCTTTCTATCCTGACTATTGTATATTTCAGGGACTTTACAATGGCAAGGTATTGGGGATTGGTAAAGAAAAGGAAGGACTATACATACTAGAGAATCAACTAAGGTCAATAGTTCATGCTGTGACTGTTGACAAGGGGAATGGAGATACAAAGCTATGGCACTTAAGGCTAGGACATGCTTCACCTGGAGTTCTAAAACACATCCAGTCTTTGAAACATCTCTCAAATAAAGAGGTGCAACATAACTGTGAGATATGTCCTTTAGCAAAGCAATGTAGATTGAAATTTCCTATTAGTACAAGTAAAACATTTGGAGTTTTTGAACTGGTTCATGTAGATGTTTGGGGACCATATAGAAAGCCTACTTTTGACAAGAAATATTATTTTGTTACTATAGTAGATGACTATAGCAGGTACACATGGTTATGTCTCATTCATTCCAAGAGTGAAGTCATTGTAGTACTCAAAGATTTCATTGCTTTAATAAAAAATCAGTTTGGCTTGTCTGTGAAAGCTTTAAGGTCTGATGATGGTACCGAATTTTTCAGTTCATCAGTTGTTGATTTACTTGCTTCATGTGGTATTGTACATCAAAGTAGTTGCGTTTATACCCCACAACAGAATGGTACAGTAGAAAGGAAACACAGACATATCTTGGAAGTTGCAAGGGCTTTAAAGTTTCAAAGCTCTCTTCCTATTCATTTTTGGGGTGAGTGTGTTAGGACTGCTGTGTACTTGATAAATAAATTGCCTACTGAAGTGCTGGGAGGGAGATCACCTTATGAGATGCTACATCAGAAAATACCTGGTATTGATCATTTAAGAGTGTTTGGTTGCCTATGCTATGCAACTAGGTTGCCTAAAGGAGATAAGTTTGCCCCTAGAGCTAGAAAGTCAGTTTTTCTAGGATATTCTGAAGTTCAAAAGGGTTACAGATTATATGATTTAATTGAGCAGACATTCTTTGTGAGCAGAGATGTGGTCTTCAAAGAGAATATTTTTCCTTATCAAACAGATACATTGTCTCCTGAGTCAGACATGTTTGAGTTAAATAGCTCAGAATTGAGTCATGTATATTCAAATGAGGATGTGGTGTTCGATACAACAGTGGTTGAACCATCTGTCTGTGGTATTGAACCACCCGAGGTTGATGCAGTTCCTGATGTTGTCACTGCAGTCACAGAGGATAGTGATTCACTATATGAAGGGAATCCAATCTCATCACCAGATATACAACCTGTCATTATTCCATAAACACATGTCAGACCTCCCAGAAACATCAAACCACCTAGTTGGCTTGATGACTACATTACTAATCCTAAGAAATCTGCCAATTGTACATATCCCATCTCAAATTACCTTCAATATTCTCATCTGTCAGCAGCTTACCAAGCCTATTTAGGTACTTTTTCTCAACCAG